CTGGCTGGTTTGCTCCGTGGTTAGAGCATCAGCTTATACACCAAAGGTCATGAGATTGATTCCCAGTCAAGGGCATGTACCTGGGTTGCAGGTTTGATTCCTGGCCCCTATTGGGGTGCATGCTGGAGGCAACCAATTGATCTGTCTCTCTCACATTGATGTTTCTCTCTCTCTCTCTCTTGCCCTCCCTCCTTCCCTTCCAATCTCTCTAAAAATCAATGAAGGACTTCCGGTCAAGATGGCGGCGTAGGTAAACTCAGTATCGCGTCCTCCCACAACCACATCAAAATTACAACTAAACTACAGAACAACCATCATTCAAAACCACCTGAAATCAAGCTGAATGGAAGTCCTATAATTACAAAATTAAAGAAGCAGCCACATCGAGACTGGTAGGAGGGGTGGGAGCAGGGGATGCTGGTCCCACACCTATGTGTGGTGTATAAAAATCAGGAGGATACTTCGGCTGGGAAGGTCCTCCCTGAGGATTGAGGGGCCCCCGTGTCAGGAAGAGAAGTCCCCATAATTTCTGGCTGTAAAACCAGCAGAAACTGAGGCTCAGGGAGGCTGAGGCGGCTGGAGCCCCAGGCAGCTCCTCTTAAAGGGCCCACACACGGACTTATCAGACTCTCTCCCTCTAAGTTTGGAGGGGAGGCAGCTCAAGGGGGCGCCAGAGACATACAGGGAAGAACTGAGCTGCTTGGCACTGGAGCGAGGGCTGGAGAGGGGGCTTTCTCTGGGACAGACATGCTGTCAGAGGCCTTTGTTCCTTTGGTGAGCCCTTCCCTGGGGCAGCAGACAGCCGCCATATCTGGGACTCCAGCAACCTAGTTCACACTGTTTGCTCCCGCCCTGGTGATTCCCTGAGGCCCTGCCCCACCCAACTTTCAGGCCCACCCAAGCTATTGCCAATTGGTTAACTATAGGATGGGCCTGTCTTGGATCCTGCTTCAGGTTTTCCTAAATTCTCTTAAACAAGCAGCATCTAGTCTCAGCTAGTCCCATACCTCTCGTTAAGTAATACTCAGAAACAAACACAGGGAGGCAGACAAAATGAGGAGACAAAAAAACAGGTCCCAAATGAAAGAACAGAACAAAACCCCAGGAAAAGAACGAAGCAAAATGGAAATAAGCAACCTAACAGATGCTGAGTTCAAAATACTGCTTATAAGGATGCTCAGTGAACTTAGTGAGAACCTCAGCGCTTAGTGAGGGCCTCAAGAACATAAAAAAGGACCAGTCAGAAATGAAGGATGCACAGTCAAAAATGAAGGAGGCACTAACTGAAATAAAGAATAATTTACACAAATTCAATAGTAGAGTAGGTAAAGCCAAGAAGCAGACCATCAGTTTGGAATATAAGGAAACAAAAAACACCCAATCAGAACAGCAAAAAGAAAAAAGAATCCAAAAAAATTAGGTTAGTGTAAGGAGCTTCTGGGACAACTTCAAGCATGCCAACATTAGCATTTTGGGGATGCCAGAAGGAGAAGAGAGAGAACAAGAAATCGAAAACCCTATTTGAAATAGTAATGGCAAAAAACTTCCCTAACTTGGTGAAGGAAACAGACATACATGTCCAGGAAGCACAGAGAGTCCCAAACAAGATGAACCTCAAGAGGCCCACACCAAGACACATCATCATCAAAATGCAAAAGGTTCAAGACAAAGAGAGAATCTTAAAAGCAGCAAGAGAAAAGCAGTTAGTTACCTACAAGGGAGTTCCTATTAGACTGTCAGCTGATTTCTCAAAAGAAACTTTGCAGGCCAGAAGGGAGTGGCAAGAAATATTCAGAGTGATGAAAAGCAAGAATCTACAACCAAGATTACTTTATCCTGCAAAGCAGTCATTTAGAATCGATGGCCATATAAAGAGTTTCCCAGACAAGGAAAAGCTAAAGGAGTTCATCACCACCAAACCAAAATTATATAAAATGTTGAAGGGTCTTCTTGAAGAAAAAGATAAAAAATATGAACAAACAAAATGGCATTGAATACATAGCTATTAACAATTAAATCTACAAATAAAATGAACAAGCAGAACAGAAACATTCTCATAGTTATAGAGAACATTTTGTTGGTTGCCAGATGGGAGAGGGGATGGGGGAATGGGTGAAAAAGGTGAAGAATTAAGAAGTACAAATTGGTTGCTAGACTGACAAACCTCAAAGGGAAGGGGGTTTGGGGGGTGGGAAGAAATAAACCAAAGAACTTATATGCATATATGCATAACCAATGGACACAGACAACAGTGTGGTAAAAGGCAGGAGGGGGACGGGAGTGGGGAGGAGGGGGTCAGTGGGGGAAAAATGAGGAACATCTATAATACATTCAACAATGAAGATATAATTAAAAAAATAAATAAAAATCAATGAAAAAAATAACCTCGGGTGAGGATTAACAACAACAAAAACCTGATTTGGGTACACATGCCATACAATAAAATGAAAATGTTTACTATTTATTAAATAGTAAAATATTTGATATTTAAATAAGTCAAAAGTCACCATTTCAAAACTTGACACCCACAAAACCATCACTATAGTTACAACAGTGGATATTTCTACCACCCCCAAATTGTCTTTGTACCCCTTTGTCAGCCTTTCCTCCCTCCACTTCACCCCCAACCCCAGGCAAAGAGCTGGAACAGAATAAAGTGGCCTGTCCAAGAAAGAATGGTACCTTTCCTTTCATTTATTTATTCAGTCATTTATACCATATGAACTCAGGGCTATTTAATTATTTGGATTAATATGATCCTTAAAATCTCATATCAGATTCCATCATCTTCTCCTAAAAACCTTCCAGAGGCTTCCCTTTATACTTGAGTAAAATCCAAGTGCCTTGCCTACCCATGAGCCCCATACACACTTTTTTTGGCGGTACATGCCCCTAGCGGGAACCAAACCTGGGATTCTCTGGTCCGCAGGCTGACGCTCCACCAGCCAGGGCTCCCGTATACTCTTTTTGTTGTTGTTAATCCTCACCCAGGGATATTTTTCCATTGATTTTGTTTACACAGAGTGGAAGGCCTGGCCCGTGTGGCTCAGTGGTTGAGTACCAACCTTTGCACCAAGAAGTCACCGGTTTGATATCCAGTTAGGGCACATGTCCAGGTTGTGGGCCCGATGCCCAGTAGAGGGCATTCAGGAAGTGGCCAATAGATACTCTCTCTCATGGATATCTCTATCTTCTCTCTTCCTTTCTTTCTAAAATCAATAGAGATAAATTATTAGATAGAGTGGACAGAAAGGAGGGAGAGAAAGAGAGAGAGACAGAGAGAGAGAGAGAGAGAAACATTGATGTAAGAGAGGCACATCAATTGGTTGCCTCCCGCACGACCCCGACCAGGGATGGAACCTGCCTTAACTGGGAATCAAACCCAACGCTCTAACCTCTGAGCCAAACCAGCCAGGGTCCTCATACTCTCTTTACCTGCCTCCTGGTCTTTGTCTGTTTTCCTTGCTCATTTTTGCTTTGGCCCAACTGGCCTTGTTCCAGTCTCTCAATTATGCCACTCCCCTGAAACCACTGTCTTTGTTGGAATATTCCTCACCCTCATCTTTACAGGGCCCCTCTCTGATTGCCCTAAGTAGACTTCTTCCTTCCCCTCAGTTGCTAATCATACCTGGAATGAGACAGAAATTTATTTCTTTGTTTATCATCTATCCTGTTCACTGCTGTATCTGCTGCATTTAGAACATAGTAGATGTTCACCCTGGCCAGTTTGGCTCAGCGGTTGAGCATCGGCCTGTGGACCAGAGAGTCTCGGGTTCAGTTCCTGTTAGGGGCACATGCCACACACACACACACACAAAAGAACATAGTAGATGTTCAATAAACATTTGCTGAATAAATGAAAGTGAGGCTGGAAGAATAAGGTGAGATCCATTCACTTCCTCTGTGATTATAGTCACAATAGCTTGCATCTGAGGCATACATGTGCCAGGTAGTCAGGAGTGCTATATTGTAAGCCTTGGTTCCATTCATCATGTGTAAAATGAAGATGTAAAAGGACCAAGCTCCAAAACTGTTGCAAAGATCAAATGAGTTAACACACACACAAATGATACTCAGCAGACATGCAACAATTATGGTTACTATCATGTGTAAAATGGGCATAACGGCCCTGGCCGGTTTGGCTCAGCGGTTGGAGCATCAGCCTGCGGTACAGAGAGACTCAGGTTCGGCTCCCGCTGAGGGCACGTACCTCGGTTGCAGTTTGTCCCTGGCCCTGGTTGGTTGTGCGGGTGGCAGCCACTCGATGTGTCCCTTTCACATCCATGTTTCTCTCTCTCTCTTCCTCTCTCTCCCTCCCGCTCTATCTGAACAAAAAATGGAAAAATGTCCTCGGGTGAGGATAAAAAAAATAAAAATAAACAAAATGGGCATAACAGTGACCTACTACATAGAATTGTTGTAAGCTCAGAACAGTGTCTGGCACAGTAAAGGGCGATATAAGTGACTGATGCTATCATCACTATCATCATCATCCTCCCACCAAACCGGCCCCCATCTAAAGATGTTTTAATCGAACTTCATTGTTTTTTTGCAAATCCTTTTCCTCGGTATGGTCCTGTGACCTCTGGGTGCTCGCCAGACCCCCGCGCTGATATCTTGGGGCTGCGGATTCAAGCCCTTCAGGACCATGGGCTCTTATCACCCCGCCCACAGGCCTAAACCGCTCGCGGTCTCCATAGAAACCCACCAACCACGGAGGAGTATGACGCCATCCAGACGGACAGGAGCCCCCACCTATCGGGTCAAAGTCATCTCGGCGTGGGGCACAAACGGGACCTCTAACTGGTGCATCCTTGCGGGAAGGCAGGAATACGTCGATAACCGCGGGAGCCGTACCGTACCTACCAATCAAGGTCTGAGGTGGCTGTGATGGACAGGCATAGAGGGAAAAGGCCCCGAGTTCGGGCTTTCACCCAACCAGCGGGCCGCAATCTCGTGAAAGGGCCAATGAGGAGGCGGTGGGGGTGGGGCGAAGAGGCCGGTTGCTCCGGAAGTGGAGGGAGGGGATGAAAATGGCGCCCAGCTCGAAATCGGAGCGGAACAGCGGGGCCGGGAGTGGCGGTGGCGGCACCGGGGGTGCCGGGGGAAAGCGGGCAGCGGGGCGGCGGCGGGAGCATGTTCTCAAGCAGTTGGAGCGGGTCAAGGTGAGGCCCAGAGTCTGGGAGAAGAGCGCCAGAGGGTGCGGAAGAGGGACGAGGGGAGCGGAGGGAGGGAGGGCGTTTGCGGGGTGAGGGGTTGTGGGCGGAGTCCCAGGGTAGGGGGCTCTGAGGGAGGGAGTTGGGCGGTGCCCTGGGGAGAAGGCTTGGATGCGGGGGGCTGTGGGAAGGCTTGGATGGAAGGGTTGGAGGCGGGGCACCGGCGGCCGGGCTGGGATGGAGGGGCCTCTGCAGGAATAAGGAGGAAGGGGGCGATCCAGGGTCAGACTTCTTTTTCAAAACCCTACTACCGTGGCCCCTCCATTACGGAGCCTTCCCGCCCCCTTCAGAGCCCTTGCTACCAGCTTTGCGCTTCCTCCGCTTGGTGTTCCTCTCTGTTGGGCTCTAGCCACACGGGAGCTGGGAGTTCCTGTACCTGCTGCTGCCTCCCCCGCTGAATGGGAGGTAGCTCCCTGGAGAGGGCCTGGTCTTCCCCTTCAGACTGGGAGCCACCTGAACAGGGTTTTTTCTCCCCCGTCAGACTGTAAATTTCCATTGTGCTGGGATCTCTTCCTCATCAGTTTGGGAGCTCTGGGAGGGCAGAATTGTGAATCTGTGGTCAGGTCAGCAGCAATTGGGTCAGGACTGTGTCACTGTGGATAGGGAGTGTGCCTTCTCTGTTAGGCTGGGAGCTCGCTCGGTGAGGACAGGGCTGTGTCTCCTTTTGACTGGAGCTCCCTGGGCAGGGACAGTCTCCACCCTTAGCCTGGGAGCTCCCTGGGCTAGGCCGGGGCTCCACCCTTAGCTTGGAAGCTCCCTGTATGGGTATCCGGGTATCGAGTCTTCCTTGTCAGCCTGGACAGAGCCGGTCCATCAGACTAGGATCTCCTTGAGGGCTGCGCTGTTTCCCCCAAAGGCCGGGGTGCTCCCCAGATAGTGCTCTTTCATGCTAGACTGGGCTTTCTTAAGGGCTAGTGCTGGTCCTCAGATTCTTGGGCTTTGGGTGAGAGTGAAAACGTATGGGGCTAGGAGGGTGGCCTTGGTCCCTAGTGGAGAGGGAGGCTCAAGGGAAGTCCAGCTCATCCATCTCTCCCAGCCGATCCCACCTTCCAGATCTTGGACCACCCTTGATTGTTATGGTTGGCAGGGAGTGGGCCTGCATTCAGTGCTGCCCTACTTTGGGTGAAGGGACTGGGGGCGCTGCAGGTGGCTTCTGCCCTATGGTGCCTCAAGATCTCTGGCCACCCCCCCCCAGATCAGTGGGCAGCTCTCCCCTCGACTCTTCCGGAAGCTGCCACCCAGGGTCTGCGTCTCCCTTAAGAGCATCGTGGATGAGGACTTCCTCTATGCAGGGTGAGGCTAAGGCTGGACAGGGGGTCGGCTGGGTGGGGTGGTGGGCTGGCCTTGACCTGGCCCATCTGCCCTGTTCCCTGCCAGACATATCTTCCTGGGCTTTTCCAAGTGCGGCCGGTACGTTCTGTCCTACACCAGCAGCAGTGGGGACGACGACTTCTCCTTCTACATCTACCACTTGTACTGGTGGGAATTCAACGTGCACAGCAAGCTCAAGATGGTAGGGCCAGGCTCGGTGCCCAACAGTGTGACCCCACCAGATCACGCCACCCCTCTGAGCCTCCGTTTCCTTGTTCATAAAATGGAGATAGTGTGTTCATTGAGTCCTCCTATGGTCAAACCACATGAAATTGCCGTTTATAGACTTGAAAATGGGTAAACAGTGGCAATTTTGTGTGATTCAGCTCAGCATATATAGTCCATAGAACTCAGGTATATACAGATCATAGAACCTCACAGGTTCAGGCCACCTGGGACCCATTAGCTTTGTTGCCACACTGGCTTTAGCCCTGACCTTGACTTTTCGAACCCCCACCCCTAACCCTGCTGGTGGATGCTGTTACCCCAATTTACACATGAGCTCAGTGAGGTGCATGGGTTTCAGGGTGGATGAAGCTTGGAAACCAAGTCCCCTGTCTGGCCCAGTCCCCTCGTTTGGGCCAAGGCTCCTGTGGACTACGTCTAGTCCTGGGTCCAGCCTTCCTGTTTTCCCCATTTGTGAGGGCTGCCTCCCTATCCTGTTCTCAGGAAGGCAGAGGGCTGCAGGCTGCAGGCTGCTTGGGACTCCCTGGCCTGAGATACCACCAGAGGGGTGCTCCTGCCAGCCTCAATTCCAACCCAGCATTGTGCAGCCTCAGGTGTGTTCCTGTGGGCCCCAGCTCACTTTGATCCCACACTGACACAAATGTTGCTGCTCAGATCCGGCAGGTGCGGCTCTTCCAGGATGAGGAGATCTACAGTGACCTGTACCTGACCGTGTGTGAATGGCCCAGCGATGCCTCCAAGGTCATCGTCTTTGGCTTCAAGTGAGACTCAGGGATGGGGAGGCTGAGGTTGGCTAGGGGAGGGCACATGGGGCAGGCAGCTGAGGCTGTGCTGGCTCCTAGTACCCGCTCAGCCAATGGGATGCTCATGAACATGATGATGATGAGTGACGAGAACCACCGTGACATCTACATCAGCACAGTGGCTGTGCCACCTCCAGGCCGCTGTTCCGCCTGCCAGGAAGCCAGCCGGGCCCATCCAGGTGAGGGGCTGGGGTCATTCAGAGCTCAGGCCACCTGCGTCCCTACTCTAAGGTGGCATCTGAGTCCATGGGCATGTGTTGCTGCAGGTGACCCAAGTGCACAGTGCCTGCGACACGGTTTCATGCTGCATACCAAGTACCAGGTGGTGTACCCCTTCCCCACCTTCCAGCCTGCCTTCCAGCTCAAGAAGGACCAGGTGGTACTGCTCAACACCAGCTACTCCCTCGTGGCTTGTGCTGTCTCAGTCCACTCGGCAGGTAGGCTGATGACAGTTGTAGCATTTGCTGTTGGCCCTGCAAGGTCGGTCCTTTCACCATCCCATATGACAGAAGAGACTGAGGCTTGGCGAGGTGCCTCATCCAAGGTTACACTGCCATAAAGTGGGAGTGATAGGATTGAAACCCAGCCTTACCCCAGCAGTGTCCTCTAGAACTTTCCGTGGGGCTGGGATGTTCCAAATCTGTCCACTACAGCTGCCATCAGTAGAAACATGAATGGCTTATGTGACCAAGGAACTGAGTGTTTGATCATCTAATTTTAGTTAAGTTTAGTTTCAAGTCACATTTGGCCAGCAGCTACCACGTTGGACCACATAGTACTGCCTTCTCTTCAACAGGAGAAATGTGAATTCAGAATTTTAGGGAGTGGTGAGTGGACAGATGGCCCTCTTACAGATATTTGGTAATCAGAAATGCCATGGAAAATCAGAAGGTGATGTCCCTTGACAGAGTGGCAAACATTAGGAAGCTGGATAATGCCACTGGCTGGTGGCTAAATGGATCCCTGGGAGCTTTCCCTCCTGCTCTGCCAGGGCCACATGGCAACAGAGTGTGACTTAGGCCCAGTAGCCCTGTGCCTAAGCATGTTCAAGGCTGTAATGGTGGGAGCTGGGGCCACCTGGTATCCATTTCTGGGGATGTGGGAGGCAGACTAAGGTGGACATGTCCCTCAGATCAGCAGAACCAGTGAGAGCTCCAGCATCCTGTCCAGGGAGCATGTCTCAAACGCAAAAGAAATACAAGATCTATAACCGAGTAACACACATAAGTTAAAAATATGTTTCAATTTTGCAAGAATATAAATAAAAAGATGCCCATTATGTTAAAAGGGTTGCCCCTGGGGTTGGAGGGCTCTAGGCATGAAGAGAGGACTAAATGTCTAAAACAGAGTCCACAGGCCTAGCGGGTTTGGCTCAGCAGTTAGAGTATTGGCCTGCAGACCAGAGAGTCCCGAGTTCAATTTCCGCTAAGGGCACATACCTTAGTATCAGTTTGTCCCCTCCCCACCTTGGGGTCGTGTAGGTGGCAGCCACTCAATGTGTCTCTTTCACATCAGTGTTTCTCTCTCTCTTCCTTCTCTCTCCCACTCTATCTGAAGATAAATGCAAAAATGTCCTCGGGTGAGGATTTTAAAAATAAATAAATAAATAAAACAGTGTCCGCAGGCGCGATCTCCCTCACACCTTTCCCTTTCCACTCCTCTTCCCCGCAGGCGTATTACCTTTGCCTTTCTCTCCTAAGCTCCAAGGGCCCTTGTTTCCTGAGCCTATGCAGCCCAGCTGCTCACTTCTACTTCTGTAACTTTCTGAATAAACTTTCTCTTTGAATTTGAAAAAATAAAATAAAACAGAGCCCACAGACTATCCAGGACAAGGGCACCTTCTGTCTAGACCCATCAGGGACCTCCTACCCCTGCTTTGGTCACCTGTGCCCATGTGGGTGAGGCCCTGCCCCTCGTTGAGCTGCAGTCCCCTAATGAGCCTGTCTGGATGGCTGATGCTCCCTGCCCTCACAGCCGTGGGTCCTGTTAGGAAGGACCACATCAGACGGGACTCAGCCATGTGCACCCAGCCTAGAGGAGGGGCACTGTCACTGATGTCTAACACCCATCTCACAGGAGGAGGGTATTTACAGAAGGAGAGTTTTGACGTGGCCACTTTACATTTTCATTTCCCTCACCCTCAGAAGTGTCACCACTCTGGTGGACTGGAGTGCATTGGTGGACTCAAATTATCTCTTAGTGTGGTCTTGGACAAATTTCTCTGAACCAAGAACCACCCCACCCTTAACCCCCATTGCGTGTGGGGGGCCCACAGGAGGCAATGCAGGTTGGGCGTAAGGCTGGGCCATGGTGCTGCTTAGTTCAGTGAGTGTGGAGGGGCTCTATCATCCTGAATCCATATTCCCTAGAGGAGGGTGTGGCCCTAGTCAGGCAGACATAGAGGCTGGGCATTTGGCCAGGCTTTGCCTGCACCGGTCTGGCTTACATTGGGGAGGATGGAGTGTAGTAAACTTCGAAACTTATATGGCTTTTTTTTTAATCCTCACCCGAGGGTATGTTTTATTTGTTTGTTTAATGTTTTTATTGTCCTCACTGGTTTGGCTCAGGGTTAGAGCGTTGGCCTGAGGACTGAAGGGTCTTGGGTTCGATTCTTGGTCAAGGGCACGTTACCTGGGTTGCAGGCTCCATCCCCAGTCCCAGTTGGATCCTGTGGGAGGCAACCAATCGATGTGTCTCTCACATTGATGTCTCTTTCTCTTTCTTCCTCCTCTTCACTCTATCTAAAAATAAGTGGAAAAATATTCTTGATGAGGATTAGCCAAAAAAAAAAAAAGTTTTTATTGATTTTAGAGAGAGAGAGGAAGGGAGGAGGAAGAAACATTGAGAAACATCAATTGGCTGCCTCCCACATACCCCCTACTGTCGATTGAGACCCAGGCATGTGCCCTGAATGGAACTGAGCCAGTGACCTTTCTGTGTACTGTATGTAGGATACCCAACCAACTGGCCAGGGCCCAAGGATATATTTTTATTGATTTTAGAGAGAGGAGGGTGGGGGGAGAGAGAGAGAAACATCGATGTGAGAGAGATGCATCAGTTGGTTGCCTCTTGCACCGCATGTGCCTCGTAGGGGCCAGGGATCAAACCTGCAACCCAGGTACGTGCCCTTGACCAGAAATTGAACCCACAATCCTTTGGTGCACAGGCTGACTCTAACCACTGAGCAACTCTGGCCAGGGCCAAAAGCAGGGATTTTTTTCTGTCTTATTCACTCTTGTGTCCTCTGTTTGTGGCATACAGTAGACACTCAAGAATAAGGTTAGAATGAATGTTTTTGTGTGTGCACACATATAAGAAGACTTTTCTCTTCTGTGTGTTTCATACAGATCATTTAGCATAGACTTTTTAGAACCCCCCCCAGGGTGGAGGACAGTCCTGGACTTGAGCTCTTTTATTGACACTGCTCCCCTTATCCCACCCCCCACACACTACATCTCTTTTTATATTCCAGGTGATAGCAGCTTCTGCCAAATCCTGTATGACCATACCACCTACCCCCCAGCCCCTCCCACCCCCCCTGGGCCCCAGAGCCCAGAGTTGCCCCCAGTCCTCCATAGCTTCTGCCCCGAGGCAGCCCCAACCCGTCCCTCTGAGGTCCCTGAGCCCTCACCTGCCATTGCCAAAGCCAAGGAGTTTGTGGCCGACATCTTCCGCAGGGCCAAAGAGGCCAAGGGTGGGACCTCAGAGGAAGCTCGGCCACCCTCCTGCATGGGGCCCTTGGGCAGCTGCTGCCGCCCAACCTCTGAGCCTCTAGTCCCAGGTGGGGAGGTGGCACCCCGGGACAGCCCCCCTGCAGCAGAGGAGCCAGCCCCTGAGCCTGGCTATGTCAACTACACCAAGCTGTATTACGTGCTGGGGTCCGGCGAAGGGACAGAGCCAGAGGATGGTGAGCAGGGAGTCCACCCAGCAAATATGGCCCTAGGCATGGGAGGCTGGCCCAGAGTGGGCCTTAGGCCTTCCACTGCCCCATCCCCATTTCCTGCCCCTTCAGAGTTCGAGGATGACAAGATCTCCCTGCCCTTTGTGGTGACTGATCTACGTGGCCGCAGTCTGAGGCCCATGCGGGAGCGGGCTTCTGTCCAGGTAGGTGCTGGCAGCAGACTGGACAAGGGGCAGCCCCAAGGAGCCTGCTGGGGTGGTAGTTGGCACAATCCTTCTGCCCCTCCACCTGCTGCCCACAGGGTCAGTACCTGACAGTGGAGCAGCTCACGCTGGACTTCGAGTATGTCATCAATGAAGTTATCCGCCATGATGCCACCTGGGGCCACCAGTTCTGTTCCTTCAGCGACTATGACATTGTCATCCTGGAGGTGGGTCCAGAAGTGGGACAAAGCAAGTCCAGGGCCTATCTGCTTGGAGGGTCACCCTCAATAGCTGTCACCATCCACTCATCCCCCAGGTCTGCCCCGAAACCAACCAGGTCCTGATTAACATCGGGCTGCTGCTCCTGGCCTTCCCATCACCAACTGAGGAAGGGCAGCTCCGGTGAGTGGGCAGGGACCTTGCCTTTGCCCAGTAGGGAGGCCACACTCAGACCCTTCAGTGTGGGGGAGTAGGGATGTGAGACTCTCTCTGCCTCCCAAACCTGGATCAGGCACTCTGTTACTGCTCCAAAGACAAAACCCCCTTGGGGTAGCCTGGGTCCTAGGCTCAGGGACATGGTGGTCCTACCCCTTTTTCTTCTGTTTCTTGCCCCTCCTGGAGACCAAAGACCTATCACACTAGCCTCAAGGTGGCGTGGGACCTCAACACGGGCATCTTCGTGACAGTCAGTGTGGGTGATCTCACTGAGGTCAAAGGGCAGACCAGGTAAGGCTGGGCTGGGACCAGGGCCCCAGGATGGGTGGCCAGAGTGATGAGAGCCCTCACTCTCTTGCCCTCAGTGGCAGTGTCTGGAGCTCGTACCGCAAGAGCTGTGTGGACATGGTCATGAAGTGGCTGGTGCCGGAGAGCAGTGGCCGCTACGTCAACAGGATGACTAACGAGGCACTGCACAAAGGTGGGCCCTGTGACCCAATGATAAGAGGACAGAGGTCATTGTCCCAGTGCCAGGCCAGGCCCGGAGTAGACACTGACTCCTATTTTGTGAATAGGCGAGCACGCTGGCTGTGTTAGTGGATGCTGTGGAGTTGGGGTGAGGGGAGGGCAGCCTACCCAGGCATGTCTGAAGGCCAGCTCAGAGAGGGCCTGGTAGGTGTGGCACCTGAAGACCCCCAGCCAGTTGCGCATTCATTCAGCAGACATTTATTGGGTGGCCGCAGGCGGGAGACAGAGATAATACAGCAGAGTCCCTGCCTTCCAGAAACTTCTGGGCCCAAATCAGGTCTAGGGAAGAGGCAGGCTTCTCCCACAACTGAGCCTGCGGAGACTTTATGGTCTGTCCCAACCCTTCCCTACAGGGTGCTCACTGAAGGTTCTGGCGGACAGTGAGCGATACACATGGATTGTGCTGTGAGGGTCTGGCCGGCCTGGACACTGACTCCAACTACCTCCGCGGCCTGGGAGCTGGCCGCCTTCTGGCAGTCTCTTCTTGGCTGGCCAGCAGGCCGCACAACGACCGCCACTAGTGTTAGGCTGTGGGAAGGGGGCTGGGCGGGGCAGCCCCTGGTGGCCTGAGAGTCTGGATGCTTTTTATTTATGCCTATTTAAGTTGGGAAGGGGCAGAGGGAGGGAGTCCTCTGTCTAACCAGCCTTGAGTGCCTGCCTTCATCCTGGGCTGGGCATGGGCCTTTGCTCCTTGTGTATTTTCCCCTTCCCAGGCTACAGGTGTGGACATTGCCCCCTTGGGAGGCTGAATAGACCGATACCTGCCCCCAGCCTCCCCTACCTGAGGTGGCAAACATCGTGGTCATCCCCCCCTATTATTTCTCTTCATGTAATAAATGTTTTATTTCTGAACCTCACTGAGTTCCCTTTACTCCATCAGGGCAACTGGAGCCCCCAGCCCCCCCAAGGCCCTTGAGTCAGCAGTAGCCAAATATCACAGCGGAATTTATTGTTTTAAGAAAGACTACAAAAAGGTAGAAAACGCTTGGCACACTAGACTACCACACTTTCACTGCTGGGAGGGGAGGCCAGAGGGCGTGGAGGGGAGTGGGCGGCCACCCCAAAAGCTTGCAGTACTGCGGAGCACACAAAATAGTGATTTTTACACAATAGGTCAGGTTTTTTTTTCCTTTTTGATTTTTGCCATAAACATCTATCTCACAGGTTGAAAACACTGAGAAAACCGGAACAGATAAGGCCATGATGGTTGGAAAAAAACCCAAGTTACCGACTCCGCTTGGGCGGCACTCACAAATCGCACAATAGTCATGTGGGGGGCAGGCGCACGGCAGGGAGAAGCACGGAGGTTCCATTACAAACCAGCGGCAGGATGCGGGAGTCTTGGATCTGAGCGAATGGAGCCCAGGCCTTGACAGGCAGGCCACTTCCGGGCCCTGCTGCCCGCAGCAGGCCCCAAAGGGCTCCGGCACCAGGCCCAGCCCACTGCTCTTTGGAAGCTGGAGGCAGTGCCCCCTGCCACCCTCCCCAGAGCCAGGCTGGGCAGTTCCTCCTTCTAGGGCTGTCAGGCAAGGGAGGATCCAGCTCTGGAGAAGATGCGACACCCACGGCTTTAATTGCACTTATACCAAGGAGGAGGGAGCGGTGGGGTTGCTGAGGGAGGGGTCCTGGGGCTGCTGCTGACGGGGGGGGGGTCCATAGATGATGCCCACCTGTGCCCACCTGGGCCTTAGGGCTGGGCCCAGGACAGGCTGTGCAAAGCCAGCGAGCTGAATAAGTTAACAGGGGAGGGGGCCTGCCTGCCTGCCCCCTAAGGGTGGGGGAGGGAGAGGCTGCTGCCTTCCTGTCAAGGGGCCAGGCTGCTGCCCCAAAGGGCACCTGGGCACAGCGGCGGGTTCCTTAAGGCACGTCTTTTGTGTCAGAGTTTGCAGCTGTAGCTTCACCCAGCCCTGTGATTGTGCCGGCCCAGTCCGGGGCGGGGACCCCCTTGCCTTCCTTGTCTTGGAGGCCCCCTCCTGGCCTTGGCAGAGGCTGGAGTGGGGACAGCGAAGCCACAGAAGCTGTGTGGGACCCTGGAGTGGAGGAGCGGAGGGGGTAGGTGGGCAGGGCGGGGTAGGCTGCAGGCTTAGCTGGAAGGCAGCGCCTGCACGAAGAGGCCTCGCGCATCGGTCCGCGCAAGTTTGGTCGGTGGTTCCAGGGCCTCGGGGCCCAGTGCCGGAGACTCGCCGCCGGCCCCCAGCGAGATGTCCTGTGGCAGCTCATCCTCGCTCTCCTCCTCCTCTTCCTCCTCCTCATCTGGGGCACACGAACCAGAACCACTCAGCGAGGGCGCTGCGTCCCTAGCCCCCTGCGGGGGTGCCTCCTTCACCCCAGCCCATGCCCCGCCCCATCCTGGACTTGGGCCCTGGGCAGGGACCAGCCTCGCCTACCTTTGTCCGGGTCTAGGGGGTTCAGCGAGGTGGCCAGGTTGGCGAACTGGAAGGAGAGAGGAGGAAGAGTGAAGGTCCCGCCTAGGGGCGCCCCGCCCGCACCCTCAGCTCTCTACAGCTCACCTCGCCCATGACGGCGATGGGGGTCTCCCCCTTGGCCTGGGCCACGCGGTGCTCGATCAGGTAGTACATGTACTCATCGTAGAGCAGCCGAATGAGGTGGAAGGAGCCGAAGCTGGCCGCGCTGCGCAGGGTCAGGTCCCTGATCACCATGGAGCTGGGGCAGCAGCGGGGAGGAGGCGTGAGGCCTGGTTCCGCCCTTCATCCTCCATCCCGGCTGCAGGCTCCAGCAAGCCCAGCTACCCCAGTCCGGTCCGCACAGGCTTCCATGGGGTTGTGCACCAGTGAGAGCAGAGGGCCCTAGCGGCCTCCCCTCCCAGCCCCACCACGCACAAGACAACCGCCTTCATAAAATGCTACCTAATACCTGCAGGAAGGCGGGGCCTCCTCCAGCCCCACCCCTCTGGGAATTCCGCCCAGCCGGTGCGCACCTGTAGAAGGACCACTTGAGGAGGAAGAGCTTGGCAGCCTTGGGAAAGCCGGCGCTGCCCTGGTAGGGCTTGAGCACCTGACTCACGACGCCGTCCAGCCAGGCCGCCCACTGCTCCAGTGAGTTCTGCTGCTGCAGCGTCACCTTGAAGTCCTGCTCCAGCCGCTGCACCACGCGGTCCTCACAGCGGCACACCCACGAGGCCTGCTCCTGGGGCACAGTGGGAGGGCACCCCCCTACTCAGCCGCCATCCCAGGCCCGCTGGCCCACCCAGTCTAGCTCTATGCTCCCCTGCCCTGCCCTATGCTCACCTGCACGTTGGCGAAGTCCACGCGGTTGAGGTCGCTCAGCATCTGATTGATCTGCGCCGTGTTCTGCAGCACAGCGCGCGCCGCCTGCGCTAAGTGGTTAAGTGATGTGTAGCGCCTCAGCGTCTGCGCGAAGGCGCCTGCAGCTGCCACCTGGGGGCGAGGGACGGTGGGCTTGTGGCTTCAACGAAACCCACACCCAATGTAACCTCTCTGAGCCCTTCTCTTTCTTCTCAGAAAGGTGGGGGTGTACCTCATTGCTTTTGTTGGGAGATCAAGGGGTCGGAGATTTCAAATTTTGAGTGTCCACCCACCCAAAGTGTGGGTAAAATAAATAAATAAATAAATAAATAAATAAATAAATAAATAAATAAATAAATGGTTTGTGTGTGACCACCACCACCATCATCATCATCATCATTATTATTATTAAAGGACACAACAGAAAATCTCGAGGGCACTGCCCAGAAACGACATTGCTTCAATAAATGTTTTGTTCTATTTTGTTTTGATTATTCCAGTGAATGTCAGTTCCACAAAGGTGGACATTTTGTCCATCTTGGTCACTGCTGTGCTGCCAGCACCAAGAAACATGCTGGGCACACAGTAGGCACTCAATGAATGTGTGTTTAATAAATGAATGAATACATGAGTCTTGTCAGTTCTGAAGGGCTTCCCTCTGGATCCAGCTTCTACTCTCCCCCAGTCCTGCCCTGTGTCCAGCATATTCAGGGTGATTCTTTAGACATCAGTTCTGTTTAGCTGTCTTGTTAGCTTTTTATGGACTAAAAAACTCATTTTTTTCTTTTTTTGCTCAAGAGCAAACACATACCATATAATTCCTCATATCTAAATAGTGAATGTAAAGCACTGATGAAGAGGGTTATTCTGTTTCCTTATCAGTGTTACTTTTTTTTTTTTACATTTTATTTCTGAACACTTAAAGCACTCTCTCGTGGTTGTCTGAAGAAAACTACTTCAAGTTTGCAGTTGTTTTTTGTTTTTGTTTTTTAATCCTCACTGGAGGACATGCTCATCGATTTCAGAGAGAGGGAAAGGGAGAGATGAGGGGAAGAGGGAGAGAGATAAGAAACATCAATGTGAGAGAAATATCAATCAGTTATCTCCCATAGGTACCCCAACCAGGGATCAAACCCACAACCTAGGTATGTACCCTGACTGGGAATCTAACCTACAACCTTTCAGTGTATGGGAAAACATTCTAACTAACTGAGCCACACCAGCCAGGGCTGCAGTGGGCTTTTAAGTGTACAAAAAAATGACAAAGGAATTGTGTTTCATAAATAGGTAAATGAGGAAGCTGGTTTGTAAAGACAATGGCCAAAGCTCACTCCCAGGGGATGGGGCAGGCATGGGGACCAATCTTATTGCCTCTATTGGGCAGAGGTATTGAGGTATCCAGCCACTAGCCCCCAGGCCTTGGCCCTGTAGCTGGGAGGGAGGAAATGGGCTGAACCCAGGCTGGCCCTTCACACCCTCACCTTCACCCGCAGCATCTCCTCAGGGATGTTCACCATGGCATGGGTGAGCCAGCTTTCCAGGCTCTTGGCAAAGTTCCGGATTGCTTGAGTCAAGGCACCTGTGGATGGTAGCGAGTGGGGGGGGGGATGGCTGATGAGGACTGAAGGGTGTGGGGCGGGGAGTGGGGTTGAGGGGTTGGCAGCAGTGCACTCACTGGGGATGGGCCGCAGCACATCGGGGATAAGGATCTCCACCAGGCCCTGATATAGCACGTTGTCACAGTGCTTGGTCCACTGCAGCACGGGCTCGAACTTGGATAGCAGCACCAAGCTGGCCTTAGGCAGCCGCTTCTCGGCCTCATCGTGCCTGTGGGCACCCCCCCTGGGGTCAGGCAGGTACTCACTGCCTCTGGCTGACCTTTGAGGTGAGGCTGACATAGGCTCCCATGCCCCTAGGATCTGATAGGGTCTTACACTCTGCACACTGGGATACAGGCACCCACCCACCCACTGCAGGGAAGAAATGATTCAGTGGGGCACCCCATCCTATGCACTCAGTGCCAGACCTATATACATGGGGGTATCAGAAGAGGTCATGTTTATCCCACCAACTGCAGGAGTCAGGCAGGCACCCCCACTCCTGCATGATTCCTGAGGTCTAGCCACCCTAGCCCTGGGCATTGACTCACAGAGTCCTCCTCCTTCCTCTCCTCCTCCCCACCCTCTGCCAGGGACTCACACGGCCAGTGGTGGTGCCTCACTGGGCTGGCTGAGGTTGTACCTCCAGAAGGTTTTCCACAGTGTCTCCACCAGGGTAAACTGCAGGTTCACCATGACATCAACGATGGCCTATTGGGGAGGTCGGACATTCAGGGGCATTGGGGGACAGCATGGCCCTCCCTCACCCCTGCCTACCCACTAGACTGCCCTACCTCACAGTGTTCCCGGTATAGGACCTGGAAGGCCTTGATGTCCCCGGGCCCGATGCCCTCAGGCAGTACTTTGCCCTGGATGTCAAGCTCCGAGAAGTCAGGGAGGCTCCTCGAGGCATCTGGGGGCAGTAAGGGACACCATGAGGCCCTTTGTCTACTACCTGCCTGTCCCCTTGGAGCCTCATCCTGGGATCCGATTAAGTTGTCACAACTTTCCTACCAAGCAGAAGTCCCCCATGTGCAGTGGAGGATGACAAGGCTCAGGGAGAGCAAGTGACCACCTGGGGACCACAAACACTGACCCAGGCCCCGGCACATAGGCCAGGGGGCTCTCACCCAGGAACTGCTGGTACTGCTGGACCTGGGCGCTGATGTCTGACAGCCCGGTGGCCTGCTGTGGCCCCACAGCCACACCGTTGGTCATGCCCTCCATCTTCTGGATGGGCTTGAGCCTGGGGGAGAAGGGGTGGGTGGGGCAATTTGGTGGGTGTCAGCCAAAACACCATTCTCCACCCATCAGTGCAGGGTCCAGCCTGCCCCCTTACCTCTGCTTCTGTGAGAAGGGCTGGCCCCGCATGGCCATGTGCTGTTGGTCCTCCATCAGCCGCAGCAGGGGCGAGCTGGCCTTTATGCGCAGGCCATAGTAGTGGTACTTGGAGTTGCCCCTGGGAGTGAGGTAGAAGGTGAGGGCTAGGGTGGGGAGGCTACTTACTAGTCATCCACTGGGAAGTTCACATCACACCCACTTCCTTGCCGCTTGGAAGCCAAACAGAGTCCACAGGTGGGCACACATTCCAGAGCCAGGGTGTGTGCCCACGGAGCTGGGGTAGCATAGGGGCTGTGGGTGCCAGGAGAGGCCCCCATATGCCAACTAAGTTCTGTGAAGACAGGGCCAGTGTGTGGGGCATCCTCAACTCCTGATCCTGGCACGGGGCAGCAAAGACTTGTTGACCGCTAATCGTAAGAACATGCCAGGTGCGCCCTGGCTGGTTTGGCTCAGCGGTTAGAGCGTCGGCCTGTGGTCCAGAGAACATGCCAGGTGCTATTCTGAGCTCCGAGCACATACAAATCCATATGCTCCTCATCCTACCCTATGAAGGCTGCTTGATGGATAGGTGAGGAAATGGAGGCACAGAGAGATGCGGCTTGTGAGGTTATGAGGTGATGCCTAAGCTGGGAACTGGAAATGAGAGATGCATGGGTAGGTGCAGGGTTGCAAAAGGCAGGGAAGGGTAGGTTCATGGAATGGCTCCCTGTTCCTTTCTTTGTGGATTCACTGACTCAAAGCCCTTGATTAAGCACTGACTGTGTGCAGCCCCTGTACTCGCAGTGTGCATATAGGCAAGAAACAAAGAAAGTAAGTAACATAAAAGGCATGTTGTCCGGCGATGTGTCTTAGTGGTTGAGCAGCAACCAAGAGGTCGCTGGTCTGATTCCTGGTCAGGACACATGCCCAGGTTGTGGGCCCAATCTCTAGTGGGGGGGTGTGCAGGAGGCGGCCAGTGGATGTTCTCTCTCATTGATGTTTCTATCTCTCTCTCCCTCTGACTTCCTCTCGCTGTAAAATCAATAAAGGAAAAAAAACTAAAAAAAAAAAAAAAGGCATGTTGGACGTTGGAAAGTGGTAAGGAGAAAAAGTAAGCAGAGAAGTGGGAAGGGTGGGAGTGTCAGAGAGGTAGGGAAAGGCTGCAATTTTAGTTAAGAGGGGCAAAGAATGTTTGAGTAAAGAGGTGGGAAAAAGCACACAAGGCAGAAGTCTGGTGCAAAGGCCCTGGGGCGGAAAGCTGTAAACAGACCTGTGAGGTTGGAGGAAATTGGAGTAAGGGCATGACAGGGTAGCTGAGGCCCTGAATAACTTGGGGTGGGGTGGTCCTTGTGGCAGTCAGGGGCAGGTGGCCCCACCTGGTGCCCAGACGGCGGGTGCGCAAGCCCATGAACACAGAGCGGATGAGCTTGCCAAAGGAGGCGGCATTGACGGGCTCCAGCTTCTGCTCTTGGCAGTGCAGCAGGTAATGGCAGTAGAGGGTGCTCCGTGGCAGGCTCACGCCCTCAGCCGTCTCGTAGTTGTCCAGGAGCCACTGGACCTGGAGCCAGAATGGGGATGGAAGAGTGCTAAGAATCGCTTCAGTTTCTCGAGTATGGTATTGCCCCTTATCCATGGTTTTTCTTCTTGCAGTTTCAGCTACCCAAGGTCAATCACGGTTTGAAAATATTCAATTTCCCCAGCCATCAACACTGCTCCTGACATCCAACCACTGACACTGTCACGGCTTAGTGATCCAGGATCACTGAAGTGATATGGCACAAGGTCAGTAGTAGCCTAACGCACTACATCACATTCATGTCATTCACCTCTCTCCATCTCATCATGTATCAGCTCTCATCACCACAAGAGGAAGGGTGAGCACAGTACAGTAAGATAATTTGAGAGAGAGAGACCACATTCACATAATTTTTATTACAATATACTGTTATATTTATTCTAAGTTATTGTTGTTAATCCCTGACTGTGCCTAATTTGTAAATTAAACTTTATCATAGGTATGTATACATAGGAAAATACACAGCATATATATAGGGTTCACGCATCCACTGTGGGTCTTGGAACATGGATAAGGTAGGACTGTAGTACTCATTGCTAAGTGCTCTCTGTACCTATTTCCAATTGAGATCTGATGACCACTATGTAGGGCACATGGTATCACAATGACTTATGGGAATTCTCTAGAACCACACTGTCCAATTAGTCACTGTCAGCCATATACAGCTATTTAAATACAAATTTAAATTAATTTTTGCTGAGTGAAAAAAGCCAATGTCAAAAGGTCATAGAGAGTATGATTTCATTTATAGAACATTCTCAAAATGACCTTATTGATAAGGGGAACAGATTTGTGGTAGCAGGGGTTAGGAATGTTGGGAGGGAGGAGGGCGGGGTGACTAGGAAGGGTTAGCAGGAGGGAGACCTTTGTGGTGCTGAAACAATTCTGCATCTTGACTGTGGTGGTGGTTTCCAAAATCTACACACACAGAAGCAGACGCCCACACTATACCAATGCAAGATGCCTGGTTGGATATTGTACTACAGTTCTATCAAATGTAACTAGTGGGGAAACTTGGGGAAAGGGCCCATGGGGATCTCTTTCTCTACTCTTTTTGTAGTTTCTTGTGACTCTAAAATTATATCAAAACAGTTTTAAAAAGCCAACTCAACTCAATTCCTCAGTGACCCCTGCCAAATTTCAAGCGTTTGACAGGCACATGTGGCCAGAGGCCTCTGTATTGAGCATCACAGACAGAACATTTATATGACCAGAGAACATTCTATTAGACAGCACTGTTCTAGCACATGTTTGCAAACTGTGGGCAAGGACCCATTAGGGATCATGTTAGTGGGTCACACCAGCATTAAGGAAAACTAGACTAGAAGCCAGGTTGTAAGGGAGGTCCTGCCTTCTGGGAAAGTGTCCCTCTCGGTTACGTGGTCCACAATGGGTCACCATGCCAGAGGACAGCAGTTAAAAAAGTGGGAAAGACATCACCCCAGACCCCACGCTCTCAGAGGAAAGGCCCACCCCATGGCTACCAGGCCCTGACCCACCCATGGTCACAGAGCGGATGAGGGGCCCATTTTGGGCTGGAACCCAGGGCTGCCTGAGTGACTGCATGCAGCTGTCTCTGGGCAGAGGGAAGTTATCTCAATGCCTTCCATATGGACAAAAAACCTTGGCTCAGGGCAGCTCCCCTTATGATGACACCTGCCTCTCCCTCTCCTCACTATCATCTGCTATTATGAATTATAATCAGAGTAGGTGACATTTCTTGGGTACCACTCTAAGAGCTTCATGCATATTAGCTGAGGCTCAGAGGGACTGAATAACTTGTCTGAGACCACACAGTGAGAATTCAACCCCAGGCTATCTTCATCTGAGCACTCCGGTGCCAGGCTACCTAGGTGTCTACAGGGGTCTCCATCACCTGCCTCCTCAGAGGCCAGTGTTGGTACTTACAGTGGCTGGTGAGGCACGGGTGGTGTGGGAGTAGGACTGGCTGGCACTGCCCAGCATGTAGCCACCTTGGATCACGTAGGTGCCTGCTCCGCCGCTGCCGCCGCCGCTGCCGCCGCCACTGCTCCCACCACTGGCTCCACTGCCACTACTGCCACCGTTGCTGCTGTTGCTGGCCCCGCCCCCACTGCTGGTGGGGCTGGCGACAACCTGGCTGCCAGACACATACATGGGCACAGAGCCGCTGCTGGCCACTGCCTGGGAGGTGGCTGGCGTGCTGACCTGGGCAGCCGTGCCTGCAGCCTCGTAGTAACTGGTGCCTGCTGTCTGCGTGTACAGCGGTGTTTCAGGGTAAGGGTAGGTGCTGGAACGGCTAAGAAAGAAGCAGAAGGATGGGAGTCAGGGGCAAGAACTGGGCAACGAAGGGCATGAAGGCGGGGGCTCCTACAGGGGTGGGAGCAGAAAGCCACAACCTGAGTGTTAGTCTAAGCACCACCCCAAGTGTTTGATAGACACATTTTCATTGAATCCTCAAAGTAGCCCCCTGACATGGGAGTCCCCAGCTCACATTTGAGGAAGCCGAGACAAAAGGGCTAGGTGCCCTGGCCAGGTGGCTCAGCTAGTTGGAGCGTCATCCTGTCCTGTACACCAAAAGGCTGTGTGTTCTATTCCTGGTCAGGGCACATACCTAGGTTGTGGGTTCAATCCCTGGTGGGGGTGTGTACAGGAGGCAACTGAGTGATGTTCTCTCCCTCTCTCTCTAAAAAAAATCAATTAAAAAAACATATACTCAGGTGAGGAAAAAAGAACACCTGCCTCCCAAAGATTATTTAAAAAAAAAAAAAAAAGACTACGTGATTTAGAACAAGCCACACACTTTACTCAATCAAAACAAAATTACTGAGCACTTACTGTATGCTGAGTACTATACTAGGCACTGCAGACCCGCATGGGTGAGCTCAAAACGGCCCTGCCTGGCAGAGTTAAGGTTTAGCTGAGGAGTTGGCAGAGAAGCCTAGGGCAAAGGTAAACTGAGAGCACTGCACAAGGTGGTATGTGCCCCCAGAGAACAAGAGGGAATGGAGGGGGTACTGAACAAAGGGAGGCCCTACTTCTAAATCCAGTGGCCACCCTGAGTGCAGATGCATTTTCTTTGGATCCAGCAACCTATTCTGCCCTGGAGAGTTTCCTCCAGCTATCCCAGGACCTGCCTCAGATGATGCTGGCTCAAGGCTGCAAATCATAGCAAGACAGTAAAAACGACTGTGGGTTCTTCTTTAGGGGACTGTTAAGCAAAAGGTGATGGAATCCTACACAGGGGTGAGAGGAGGAGGGAGGGGAAGGAAAGTCTCATGGTCCTGCCAAAGAACAAGTTCCAGAACATTACATTAGGTGAACAAAAGAGGAGGAAAGGGTGCAGATGGTGTGTTAGTAAGAGAGGGGAGACTAAGCTGAATTTCATACCTACGCCTGCCATCTGTATGCCATAAGTGGGGTTGGAGAGAGGATGGGCAGGGGCACCTCTCTCATTGCCTTACTAGATATCACTGGACATAGTTTTGATTTTTGAGCCCTCTCAATGTACCAGTGATTAAAGATAACATTAAATTTTACAAATCCAGAAAGGCAGGAAGGCTGATACGGGATGGTCTGGCTCAGAAGGTGCTTTTGGAGCCATCTCATGAAGGAAGCAGGGAAGGAAAACTTGCGGGCCTCTGGGGAAGCCAGGAAAGGGAGTTGGTGGGTCAGAGAGTGGTGAGAGGTGTGATCACTAGAGGTGAGTGGCCCTGCCCCTCACACACCTGGATACAGATCCTGATCATTGAGCCCAGGTCCACAACTACCATGAGTGACACCAAGAACACGCGACTTGAGCTGGCACCAGCAAGTGCCCATCCCTTCCAGTGGCGGGGACCATAGCCAGGACCAGCCCAGTTCCCTATAAGCAACACTTGCTCCAAAAAAATGTTGCTCTGCCAGCCATTTGCTGACTGACTGACTGACTGACTGACTGACTGACTGACTGACTGGATGAATGTGTATATCTCTAGAATTGGCCTGGACAGAGCCAGGGACAGAGGTACAGGGGCTGTGGTTTTTGCCAAGGAAGGAATCAAGGCCCATCAAGAGCTGGGAACCCAGTAATGATCCACTGAGAGGAAGACAGAAGACATAGTGCTCCAAGAACTTCACACAGCAAAAAAATATGATGGTAAAGATGGGCCACATGGGATCACACATACTATAATCACAGAGGGAAGAATTCAAACAGAAGCAATAACAGAGGTTACCAAGGGAAGCAGATGGAGCCACTCTGGGACCCCAGGCCTGAGCTCATGGCTCAGTTCTGACTCTAACATTCTAGTGGCCCTCGGGTCCTGTCTCCTCTCTGCAATGGCCCTCTGTGGTTAAATGCACAGCTAGGAGATTGGCAGCATCAGAAATAAATCAATAGAACTGTGAGGTAGCTGGACACTATGAACCATATCCAGATGCTGGGGCCATCCATGCCCCTGGGGTAGCCACAGCATCATGACCCAGGGACCAAGTTGAGCATGGTCCATGAGATAATCCACCACCAGTACCATGTCCACAAAGAAAGCTGGCAGAGAGATAAGAAAAAATTAGAAAAATGCTAAGAAAACCAAATGAAACTTCTAAGAGCTGAAACAATAACAATAACTATAGTACTAGAATTAATTACTATGGAAAATGAAAGAGAAAAGGTGGCATGTGCAGGATCCCAAGCTGGAGCTAGGGCAGGCCCAGGGCATGGTATCTGTCTGAAGTGGCATGTGTTAGTGCTGTGCCATGTGCAGTACCAGGGAGTGGAATCATCTATGTGTTAGCTGGTTTGGGTCTGGCTTTATCGTTCATGCTACGCCTGCACAGTGGAGTATTACACAGTGTTGAAAGCGGGTGACCCGGACCCATATGAGCAAATAGGGGACAAGATTCAAGATACACACTGGGGAAAGAAAGGATACCTGAACGTGCCTCTATTTCTGAACAAAGAAAGAGTCATTTCTATTCTCAGATTATCTATGGGAGGAAACAAACAAAAAAATAGGCCAGAATGCCCCTCTCTGGGGCAGGGTGGGAGTTAAAGAGTGAAGGCAATTTCTTTTTCACTGTTTAACATTCCTGTTACTTAGAAATTTTTAATTTTTTAAATTGATTTTAGAAGAGAGAGAGAAAGGGAGGGGGGAGAGAGAGAAAGATGGAAAGATCGATGTGAGAGAGAACATCGATTGGCTGCCTCCTGTATGTCCCCCACTGGGGATTTGGCCCACAACCTGGGCATGTGTCCTGATTGGGAAATGAACCAGTGACCTCTTGGTGCACGAGTCAACACTCAACCACTGAACCACACCAGCTGGGCAGAAAATTTTAATTTAAATTATTTTTGTGGAGGGCTAAAAACCAGGCCCATCTGACTCTAAAGCCCTAGGCTATGCCGGATTCCTTTCCCAACCTACAAGGGTCCTCCCTGCTTTACCTCTGCCTGGTGGCTGCTGGCTGCCCTTGGGGAACACCACTACCTGTCTGCCACCAGAGGCCTTGAAGGCTAGCTGGTCCCCTGGGGACTGGGAACGGGCCCTCCAGTCTTGCCTATCCCCCATCCCCAGCAGACCTATGATCCTATTTCTGTCTCCTTCCCCAGCCTTCTCCCTACTCACATGGCACTGGTTGTGTAGCTGGCGTCGCCACCCTCCACATACTGCACTTGGCTGGAGTACACATGTGGGACAGGTACCTGCTGGAGCTGCTGCACCTGTCGAGGGACAAATAGCATGCAGAGGGTCAGAGGGAGCCAGCTCCTCTGCTTCTGCCTCTCGCGGGCTGGTGGCAGCCAGCCTCTCCTGGACACCTGGCTCCCAGCTGGAAGGCTGCACTTCTGAGCTCTCTGAACACACAATAAACGGGACCAGGAGCCAGAGGCCCAGGAATTTGGCCTCTGCAGGGGCTGGGAATTAGGCAGAACTGCCTCAGAAGCCAGGACTCTCTGCTAGGGTTGGAGACAGCAAGGGTGAGGACTGAGATAAGGCAGACAGAGGGGGAGCCAAATAGGGTTCTACTGTGGGTGTGAAAGTTGGACCCCAGAGGCAGAGCCAAGCACTGAGACAAGGCTACCGCTAAAGCCAGAGCCTGTAACTACAGACAGGGCCTTATGGACATACGGAGTCCACATCAGGAACTGACCCGAGGTCTGTAGAGGTGGGGCCTGGAAATCGTGCAGAGGATTTAGGGGCGGCGAAAGGGTTTGGGGGTGGGGCCCGGTTTGTGGGATAGAACCTGGAATTACCCACAGGGCTTTAGAGGCGGGGCTTGTGTTCTTCACCCCTTTCTTTCCAAGGGTCTGTAGGGGCGGAGCCTGGGATTTGGAACTGGCTTTGGGGTAGGGGGTCAAAGGCGGGTCCCCAGACTGGCTGGGAGGAAGTGGGGTGTCCGGAGCCAAAGGGGCCGGGCGCGGGCCGGGGCCTGCGGATCCCGCTCCCGCCCGTCCCTTGTCCCCCGCCAGTGCGCTGGCCACCTACTTTGAGGGCCGTGGCAGCCGTGCCGAACACTAGCACCTGGGGGACTCTCTGGATCCTGACCCTCTGGTCGGGGCTGGCTCGGGCCGGGAGCCCAGGCAGTGGCTCGAGGACCACTTTCTGCTGCGGCAGGAGCAAGTGTGGGGGCAGCACGCCCACCAGCTCCACCCACTGCTCGGCGCCTGGCTCGTAATGGGGAGGCGGCAGCTCGGGGCTGCCTAGCTGCGGGGCCTCGCCGCTGCACACAGGCTGGAGCGACGGTGGCTCTGGGGCCAGCGCACCAGGCCCAGGCCCGGGCGTGCGCGGCCGGGGTGGTGGCTCCGGCGGCGGTGTGGGCCGGGGATCTCGCTGCTCTGCCTTCCTAGCGGGAAACTGACTGTCTGAGCTCTGGAGGACAAACAGAGACACTGGGGGGTAACCGGGGCTGCCAGGCAGGGCCTCTGCCGCCCACCGGGATGCTGAGCTCATGCAGCAACCCAACCAGAAGATCCCTGCTTCGTGTCTCAGGGAGATGAGACTTGATTATTCTCTTAGTAAAACTTCGGCCCTGAAATGCCAGGTGCCAGAGAAGGGGAACCCCACCGCCAGAGGTGGGGCCCAGTGTGGGGCTAGGCCATTGAGGACCCCAGAGGTGGCTCCATTCCCTCCCTTAGGTTTGGGGGGCCTGCACCCCTCCCCAGTCCAGCCCCAAACCAGCCCCAGTTTGCCCAGAGGTAGGTGGGGGAGATACATACCTCTTGGGCCACATGAACTGGCTGGAGCCCCTGCACCGTGAGTGGCTGCACTGGGCTGGCTTTGGGTGCCTGTGGAGTGGCCTGGACCACAGACCTCTGGGGAGGGAAAAGGGAGTCAGACCATTGTAATGGTGGCAATGATGGCGGCAAACCCATCCCTAAGCACTCACCCTCTGCCCACAGGCACTCATGTAAACTTGGGAGTAGCCTGGTTAGAAAGAGGCCACCTTCTCCAGCTTTTCATGGCTGGCCCTTCCACCAAATGCCTTCCAGGTTCATTACCACAATGACTCTGGGCACTCAGTTACAGGTGTGGAACTCAGGCTCAGCAAGGCAAAGCTGAGGGGAAGTGACAGGGCTGAGTTGAACTAGGGACTGACTGAGGGAGTCCTTGCTCTCTATCTCCATTCCCTTCAGGCTTATCCCACTCTCCCACACTCCAGTGTCCTGGATGCCCACTGTCCTCACTTCCATGCTATGGCAGGGAGGCAGGTATCACCTGCAGGGCATAGTGAAGGACAGAGGCTGGGGGCAGGGTTGATGAGTGGTGGGGCACAGACTCCAACTCAGGTCTGAAGATTCAGAGGGGCTGTGGTGCCAGGCAGGGGAACATTTGTGAATCCTTTGGGGTGTGGTTCTGCTTTCCAATGGGGAGAGGATCTATGGCTTTTATCTGGTTTTCTGAGGGTTGAAAATGTACCAGTTTCAGTGGCAACAACCAGATGACAGACAACCCTCCCTCATCTCTCACCTAATCTGTTCTGGGTGCCATGGCTGGTGGCTCAGAGCACCACCTCCTCCAGAATGCTGGAAATGGATTTGGAGGCTAGGGCCTCTCCCTGAGTCTCTTAGGACTTAGCTTTGGGGCTCCTCCAGGCAAGTGGGCCCAAAGAGGCCCAAGTTGTTTCTCAAAGCTGTTCCCTACACCTGCTCAGTGTTAGGTGCCTCCCACAGGACCACATTTCATCCTCACAGCAGCTCCAACCACACTGACCCCAGGCCCCAGGGGTTATTTAGATGAGGATGCTTGGGTCTGGAGAGAGGCAGAAGTGCTTGGCAAAGGTCCAGGTGGCAGGACTCCATCTGCCCAGCTCTCACAGCCTAGGAGGCTGCAGAGGCAGCCTGGCCAGGACCCCTCGCCCCAGCTGCCGCCCGCCTTGGCCTGGCACCTCTTGGGTGACAGGGACACTCTGCTGGACGCCGTGGACCTGCAGCTGCTGTGGCACTGTGCCCGGGGGGGCCCCAGCCGTCTTGCTGGAGGAGCTGTTGGCCTGCACTGGTGACCGCTATAAGGAAAGAAGACACGGAGTGTTGCCTGGGGCACCTGGGCCCTGACCAAACCCTTCTCAGGAGGGCTGTCTTCAAGAGCCGTTGGGGAAGGTGACAGACAGTGGGGGCATGTGCCAACCACCTAAGCTGGTAACTGGCTACATTCTGTGTACCCAAATTCCTAGTCCTGGCCACAAGCCCCAGTCACCACTGGGCAAGGCTGGGGGTTTAGCCCAGAGGTGCTGGTGAGTAGTGAGGATAGCCAGACTCCAGCCTCAACTCAGTGGCCATCTGCTGCCTCCATAACTGGAGGGGCTGTAGCCTTGAGGTGAGGAAAGATAGGTGAGGGAATACCTAATTTCCAGATATGCTGAGGCACAGATGGCAAAGGACACGCGCAAAGCTACACAGCTATGAGTGGTGACACCAGACACTGCCCCCAGGCAAGCTGGCTACAGAGCCCCTTTGAGCACTGGGCCATGTTGATACCATAAGCTATTTTATACACAGAACACTTTGAGTGCAGAAGCTCTGATGGCCTGCCCAGAGTCCCCCAGGAGTAAGTGGCTGAGCTGGAGGGTTTGAACCCCAAGCTCCTAATGTGGACATCCATGCTCCAGCCCCAAGGCCCACCTGCCTGGCTCGAACATTCTTGAAGGTATTTGGGGGGCCCCAGATTCCACCCTGTGGTCTGAGGAAGAGCCTCTATCCACTCTGTAGAGGGAAGAGGGGCCCACTTTGCCTCCTGTGACGCATTCCTAAGCTGGAACTAAGAGGCCTATCTCAACCCAGGGAGAGGGAGGAAGCCAACTCCTCTCCTGAAGGTGGCAGTACCAGGAATCAGGAAGCCAAGCCACCTGCCCAGGGTCAAAGAGGGCATCAGAGCTGGGAGTGGGGAGGGCTGGAGGATTCTGGAGGAGCAAGTGGGCTTGGGGGAGGCAGGAGCTCCAAGTATACTATGGGGGTACATGGCTAACCTGGGGGGAGCGGAGTGGGGAGGATAGTTGACAAGGCCACCACCTACCTCAGGAGGTGAGTGCACCTGCTGGGTGCCGTGCACCGTCAGAGAAACCTGGCCTGCTTTGACACCCGGGGCTGTGCTCTGCACTACCAGTCGCTGCGTGGGGAGAGCCTGGAGCCAGGAAGGAGAAGGACCCCAGTTCACTGATGACAGTCTATACGGTTTTAACAAACATCTGTGCTGAACCAGGCAACATCCTAGTGCTACATGCTTAGCTCATGGAATCTTCCAGACAGCTCTCATGCAGCACAGTCCTTATTCCCACTTCACAGAGGCTGATAGTGAGGTTCAGTACAGCAAACGTGGCCCAAGGTCTTGGAGCCCGCAAACAGCAGAGCCAGGGTTTGTGTCCAGGGAGCCTCACCCTTCTACCTGACAGGACTGTCCTGGTCTGTGCTGAGGCCGGCACGCTACCTGTAGCCTTCCAGTGTCTGTGCTTGCTACAGGCTGTCAGCACCTAATTGGCCTTGGGTTATCTGCTTGGGAATACCAGGCTGGACTTGCAAGCCACCTTCCTTACTGCCAATCCGTAGTTCTTTCTGTTAAGGTGACTCGTGTGGCTCCTCCTTCCCTGATGAGCCCTGACTGACACAGTCTCATCTGCTGGAAGCAGTGGGTGGGGCAGCCCCTGTATGGGTTCATGTCCTAGATGCTAGTGAGGGTAGATCCCTGAAGGTTATCAAGAGTTGGTTCTGCACCCTGGGGAGGCTATGAGGGCCAGGGCCAGGTGTGGTAGACTTACCTGCTGGGGAACAGGGATGTTGGTGAGCTGGAGGGGTGACATGTGGCCTGGCTTGGCCTGCACACTTGTTTGGACCAGCAGCCGCTGTGGGAACAAGAAGAAAGGCCCTGAGCCATGCTGACTTCCCCAGAAAGCCCAGCCCAGGTGGGTGGAGAGGCTACTGAAGTGAACATTCTGATAAGGACAGGTAAGCAGATGGCTCTGGCAGTAGATCAGGGAGGGAAGGCCAGGTACCCTCTGCCACAGCCTCCACTGCCTCCCTCACATGCCCTTCCCACCTGCCCCAGGGAAGAGGTACTTCCTACCTGCTGGGTGCCTTGCACCTGCTGAACCACCTGAGTGGGGACTCCAGTCTGGCTGGCCGTGGAACCTGGGCTGGCCTCCGACACTGTCTCACTGGCCCGCATGGCACCTTCTGGTAGGAGAAAACACAAGGTCAGCTCTAACTCTGACCCTGCCCCCACTCTGAGACTGAGCCCAACTGGATGTAATGACGCAGTCTGAAACAGACCCCTGGCCAGCCCAGCCCAGCCCATGCCCATTGGGGTGGGGTTGGGGCCAGGAGGACCCTTACCATCAGAAGCAGCTTTACTGCCACCCCTACCCTCCTCATCCCAAAGCCAGACTGGAAGGGGTGACTAGAGAGCCATGGTTCAGTGGAGGCTCAGAGGGCTGGACCCCTTTTCCCAATAGACAGGACTTGTGGGCGGACAGTGACTGGCCTTTAACCTTGGCAGCCCTAGAAGGACCAAAGTGCTGGAGCCACCTTCCCTGAGATGACCTCTGGCTTTCCAGGAACTGCAGGTGGTTAGAGTGGCCCCAGAAGGCCTTAATGGCCAGTGGCTGAAAGCCCCCTCCCTCTCCACTATCCCAGCCTTTCTGTCCTCAGTAGGGTGGGGGCAAGCTGGTACTTACGCTGAAGGGCAGCCGAGAAGAGGCAATCATAGAACATGGTGTCCACCTCACCGTCTGTCCCCCCTCTGTGTCCAGGGGAGCCTGCCCTGTGCTCCTCACTCCTAGCCCACCTCTTTGGGAACAGCAGGGCATGCGGGCGGGTTTATACCTGCAGCCTTGGAGAGCTAATCCCCCCAGTGGATGCAGAGCTCCCAGCTGCCCTCTTGGAATAAACACTCCTCTCCCAGCAGGCGTGGCCAAACAGGGCCTTCTAGGGGCTGAGGCTGGGGCTGGGATTGCACTGCAGGGTCAGGAGGGAGGCTGGAACCCAGAGATGCTATCAGGCGGGTGCAGGTCGAGTTTCATGCACATCCCACTGAGTGATTAACAAGAGCTGGGGGGCAAGGGCATAGAGAGTGAGTTTTCTTGAAAGGTGCGGGCTGGGAGACCCTCACCCCAGCCAGGAAGCAGTTTACCTTGTCCCTTTGTGTGGTATGATTTGTCCCTAGCAGTTCCAGAGGTTGGGGTGGGGCTGGAGGCACACATGTGCCTGCCCTCCCAATGTGCTGCTATAAGCAGCCAAGGTCCCAACCCCACTTCCCAGGTCTCCTGGCAAAACTGGGGTGTGGTGGATAAGGAGGGCTAGGATTAACTATAGTGCTTCTGGTGCCCCAGGAGCTACAGTATGGTGTTCCTGGGCAACTGGAGATGAAAAGAACTTTTATGACCCCTGATTTCAGATAAGGTTACAGAGATGGGAAGAAAGGAAGTGACTTGCCCAAGGTCACCCAGCTGGGAACAGGCAGGCCAGGACACAGGCCCATGTCTGTGCCCACGTGAACCTCATACCATGCATGAAACCCTGAGTCACAGGTCACGCCAGGGCTGAGGCTCCAAGGACAGTGATGTGAGGACTCAGGTATGTAAGTACAGGGGCCTATGGGGACAACACAAGGTCCAGAGCATCCCAGGGTGGGGCTCAGCCTCCAAAGCAAGGAGCTGTACCTCAGCTATGTGGGAATACCAGAAGGGTCTAGCCAGGGCAAAAGGGCTGTCCCAGGTAGATGTAAGGACCTCACGGGCCAAGTTTAGAGCAGAGCACATGAATGTGTGTATTAGGTAGTGGGCGTAGTGGCCAGATGGGGGAGGAGGTATTGAGGGAAGCCTTCCATTGGCCACATGTGGGGCAGGCATTAGGACAACCCCAGGCCTGCTCAGCCAGCTGCCTCTGCAGCCAGTTCCAGAAAGCATGAATTCCTGTTTTGCTGGATTCTTCCCTTGCATCCACATAGACTTCACTGAGCTGTGAGGGAGGAGGCCCTTACTGAGACAGACCCCTGAGAAAACCCCAAGTCACATGAGGAGCCCAGCACATCTGGGTGTCTGTAGGGCACAGGGAGCTAGACTCAGCCCAAGGCATGGTGCCCAACCAAGGAGGCCAGTGGCAGCTTTGGCCTGGTGCAGGGTGGGCAGCCAGTGCAGCAGGGGGAGTGCTGGCCCCAGACACCTCCTAGGCACAGAGTCTCTGATGAAAATGCCTTGAGCAGGACCCTCAGAAGATCAGATATCTGCCTGGGAAGCAGTCTTGCCAATACCCTGTCTCTGGGGTGGCCTCCAAGGCTGGGACCCCTACCCCTCATATCTGCCAGATAGGTAAAGCAGGCTGGGCCACAGGAAGATGAGCAGGTAAGGTTTTAGAGTCTATTCCTCGGATGAGGGGCTTCCTCTGTGCCCCATCTGCCTGTGTCTTGCCTAAGATATGTGTGTGGGGGAGTGAGGAACATGGAGTCTGAGAGCATATGCATCTGTCTGTCTGCCATCTCTGTTCTAAGCACATGCATGAGACCAGGGAGGGCCCCACTGTCTCAAGTCTCTAGTCAGGAAGTGGCAGCTGATTTCCTGTCCCTCAATCTGATGAGTATCTCATCTTCCCCGGGCTCTGCACTTGCCCTGCAAGACCTATACATACCTCAAATGCCACAAGCTACTTGGGGAAAGCTGAGAGAGGCCCATTCCCATAGATGGGGCAGTCTGGCCCTCTCCTTCCTAATCCTTTGCTCCCAGGGATGATTTCAATCAGGGGGTCTTAGGGAAGCAGAACCTCTGAGTCTCTGCTGCCCCCATGGTCTTGGGTCCCTTTTCTGTTCTGACCTCAGTTTCCCCATCTGTGGGGAAACCACATACCCCCACCCTCCATGTCCCTCTCCTGGACTAAGTCTTTTGGACTCCCAAGGACTCCGAGTGAGAGAGCAGTATGGAAGAAAGGCTGGACATGGTCCCTCCTTCAGCCTCGCCCCATTCCTGGCAGGCAGGCTTGGTCTCACTATCTTGGGGACACTGCTAGGACCCACAGAGCCCCCCTTCCACATCGAGTTTCTGGCAGAGTCTGGTGGCCTCTGAAGATGGGATTCATGGACACAGGGGTAGAGAAACTTTCTTTTGCCAAGGGCCATTTGGATATTTATAACATCATTCACAGGCCATACAAAATTATTAACTTAAAAATTAGCCTGCTAGTTGCCCCGGCAAGTGTAGCTCAGTGGTTGAGCATCAACCCCTGCACCAAGAGGTCACCGGTTCGATTCCCGGTCAGGACACATGCCCAGGTTGTGGGCCAAATCCCCAGTAGGAGCATGCAGGAGGCAGCCAATCAATATTCTCTCTCACTGATGTTTCTATCTCTTTCTCCCTCTCCCTTCTTCTCTCTCTAAAATCAATAAATATTTTAAAAAATTAGCCTGCTATATTTGACCAGGCTAATTTGGTGAAGAGTGTGATGTCAGCTGGTATTGATTCGCCCACGGGCCAGACATTCCCCACCATGATCTAGAGGATTATTTCAGAGTAGGTAAATTGAGCTGCTTTCCCATCACCTCTAAAGTCACCTTATGGCAGAGCCCACAAGGACAGAGCTGGATGACCTGCCTTCTGGTGCTGCCTTGGCTGGTTGCCAGCCTGGGCTCCAAGTCTGGGTCCAGGCCCTTCCCTGGCCCCTCCCTAAGACTCCCTGGTCAGCTCAGATTGCCTCTGGCCCTGGAGGAGCCCAAGCACCTTGCTGCATTTGCTGGTGTCACTTACACCCCCACCACTCCTACCCTGGGACTGGCTCATGTGGCCCAAAGGCCACCCTTAGATACAAAGAGACACTAACCTGGGAGAGGGTCATGGTGGTCCCCTAGGAAATCATTGCAAGGGGCTGGGGGAGGGTTGACAGAGCAGCAAGTGCAGTTGCAGGATGCCAGCCAACCTCTCCTTCCTTAGAAAAAATCTAGGAAGCATCATCCAGTCACCCTTCTGGGGATAGGCTCACTCCTGCTAGAGCAGGAGCAGCAAGAAAACGAAATCTCCCAAGACTATTGTAAAAGATGATTAAGCTACTGCCAAAGAAGGGATCCCAAGAGTCATGCCAATAGCCCAGAATGCTCTGCAGCATGGTAGGAGGACGGGGGGTGGAGGGACAAAGACCACCTCACCAGGCCCCACAGCTAGTGAAAGTCCTTCTGAGACCCTAAAGACCACATGTAACCTTGACCTCTAAGCATGGGGCCTCCCTGGGGCAGTGCCAGGAGGAGCTGGAGGAATGGAGAAAAAGAGAAGATGGGCTGGGATTTGGGGAGTTCTGGGACCTGGAGCTATGTGCCTATTTCAGACCCTTGCTCTAGAAAGCTGGACCAGAATGCAGTTAAAGCCAGCACCCGGAAGGTCCAGAGCCAATCAATGCTCTGGAGCTAAGCAAAACCCCCCAGCTGTGGCAGGCAAGGCCTCCCACCTGTTCTTGGCAGCCCAGGGGCTGACCGGTTGCGAGGGCTGCAAAACTCTTGGGGTCAGGCCAGCATTCATATAGGCATTCACCAGTCATTCCACAAAGACTCAGTAGACAGAGCCCTGCCTCATGGATAATAAAGTGGATATCATCAACATCATCACTTTAGGTTGTGATGAGTGTTAAGAAGAAAAATAAAGTTGCTCTAGCCGGTTGCTCAGTGGTTAGAGCATTGGCCCGCGAACCAGAGAGTTGTGGGTTCAATCCTGGTCAAGGGTACGTGCCTCGGTTGCGGTTCGGTCCCCGACCTTAGTCAGGGCCGTGTGGAAGGCAACCAATTGATGTGACACATTGATGTCTCCCCCCACACACACTCTATTTGAAGATAAATGGAAGAATATCCTCAGGTGAGGATCTAAAAAAAAATAAGAAGAAAAATAAAGCAAAGTAAGGAGACAAGGCGTGAAGAGTGGGGGCGAGAGGGTGTGGGGATCAGGGAAGTGGCCTCTGAGCAGGGATGAAAAAATAGGAGGGATGAAACTCCAGAAGGTCTAGGATGGGAGTACTCAAGGCAGAGAGCACCGAGAAGGCAAAGGCCCGGAAGCTGGATGGTGCTTGGTGGGTTTGTAGAGCTGCAGGAAGGCCAATGAGACAGGTGGGTTTGAGGGCACAGTGGGGCCAGGTGGGGCTGAGCAGCCAGCAGGACTTACAGGCCAGAGTCAGGAAGATGGGTGTTCATCAGCAGGAACACAGCAAGTGTGGCGTGTTTAAAGCCCTTTCCTATGGGAAATGCCATAAGGGAGCAGATGTCCTAGGGCCCAGAAAGCCCAGGCCAGGGTTTCTCAGAGAGTACCCCAGGGCCACCTGCTTTGTAATCAGCTAGGTTGGGTTGGGATGTGAAAGGACCTATGACCGTTGTCAACAGGCTCCCTCTAGCTGCTGTAGGGAGAAAACTATGAAAGATGAGAGGGGAGGCTGGACCATGGTGGGGACCATGGAGGCAGGAGAGATGGCTAGATTTAGGTGGAGCCAAGAGGCCTTGCTTGCTCGAGGATGGGTAAGATAGGAATCAAGGCTGTCCTGGACCTGGAGGTGGTATTTACAAGGAAGAGAAAGCCTCAAAGGAGGGTGGATTTGAATTGGAAGAAATCCAGAATTCCATTTGGCCATGGTGGCTTGAGAGGCTTGTTCAACCAAGTAGATAATCACAGGAGCCTGGACACAGGATCCTGGGGTTCAGGGCTGCAGCCCAGGGCACAGATGTCAATGTGTGTATTATCGGCATAGAGGTGGCATTGAAATCAGAGACAATGGCCCTGACTGGTTGGGCTCAGTGGTTAGAAAGTCAGCCTGTGGACCAGAGGGTCCCGGGTTCTGTTTCCGCTGAGGGCACGTACCTTGGTTGCAGTTTGTCCCTGGCCCCAGTTGGGGTCATGTGGGTGGCAACCACTCAATGTTTCTCTCTCACATCGATGTTTCTCTCTCTCTCTTCCTCCCTCTCTCCCTCCCACTCTGTCTGGAGATAAATGGAAAAATGTCCTCAGGTGAGGATAAAAAAAAAAAGGGGAAGAGAAAACACTGGTGGTAGTTGGAGGGAACAGAGCTGGGGGGTGGGGGGGGCGGTGTCCTGGTTAAAACGGGAGCTGTTTCGTCTTTGTGGGCAGATGAGAAAGAATGCAAAATAGGGATCGAATGACGAGGCTGGGATGGCAGGAGCAAGTCCTAGAGGGGACCACCTGGGGCAGGCGAAGTTGTTGGGTGTAGACAGATGTACCCCAGGAGCTGGGAGGCTGGCTGGTGGGGGATTCTTCTCATCACATGATGACACCTTGTCCCCAGTGAGGTCAGTAGCAGGGTCAGGGGTCAAGAATGCAGAGTGAGAGGGAGGTGATAGAGGTGAGTGGGTTTCTTGGACAGTGAGGGGTATGCTAGTGAGAACATGTAGCTGGATCACTGGGCAGTGCTGACAACCCACAAGAGATCTGTGGCCTGGGAACCCTGACCATGCCCATGACCTGGTCTCAACCCAGTGTGCTCAGCATGCCTCTCATACACCATCCCTCCACACCATCTGTGGGGTAAAGAATCACCGCTCTAAGCTCCTGTGTACCCTCACCCCCTGGCCCTCTCTGGGGACCCCGACACTGCCCAGGGCCCCAGCTGCATTTGTCCCAGTCCCATGAGGCCCTGTCAATTGCCACATATTTGACTATTATCTATGGTTCTAATCTCAGTCTGACAGTCCCTTCCACAGCCCTCCAGGATGCACTGTGACCCACCCCGCCACTTCCCTTTTCATTCCAAAAGGACTGGGCCAGCCTCAACTAGGGGTTTCACCACATCTTCCCCGCTCCTCAGAGCATATTGGAAACCACTAACAATGCCCAGTCCTGGCCTGAGCTGTAAATTCTCCCTCAGGGAAGTGGCCGCCTGTCTGAACCCTCTGCTCCGGTTTCCCTCTGCCCAGCCCGCGCCTCTGTCCTGGGAGGAATTGGGGCATGGGTTAGATGCTCTAGACAGGAATCAAAGGTGCCATGACCCAAGTTTTCTGGTCATTTGCTCCATGGCTGTAAGGGGTGGCCAAAGTGAGAAACAGAAACCCTTGGCAACATACTCTTGAACCTGTCCAGCCAAGAGCCCAGCTTGGCCCAAGTCCTGCCAAAAATGAAATGGGAGGGGAGGGGAAAGTGATGCCTTCAGAACCTCCAGCCAATCACCTTGAAGTGCCTCCATGAGCATCTCACACGTATCCCCTCAGTGCATGAAATGGTTACGATCCCTTTCTGGATGAGGAAACTACGGCAGGATAGCCAAGGGGCTGGTGAGCAGTGAGGCCAGGACTACTGCGCAGTGGCTGTGTGCTCACCCTCCTCTCCAGTAGATGTTTATGAACTTAAACTCCACTGCCCAATCCTTTCTTCAAATAACATCTTACTTGGGGATAGACAGAAACAGCTCTAAGAGCTGCCCTGGTAGGGAGGAGTTGGGGGCCCAAAGGCTTTCCTGTCTGGCCACAACTCCTTCCCCAGAGATGCCCCCAAGTCCCACCTGGGAATCCTGGAGAGTTTGAAAGCTGCCATCCTGGTGACAGGCACAATAAGTGACAGCCCTCACTGCCAGGATGCTCCCAAAAGCTCTTCTTGGAGTTGTTCAAAGAGCACCCGGGCCCCGCACAGATGTCCACTTACCAGAGACGGTGACCACGATGTACTGCTGGGACACCGCGGAAGGGGCAGGTGTGCCAGCTGGCTGTGAGGGCGTGGGGGCAGCCGGGAGCTCCGTCACATACTGCTTCTGGCTGCCTGGTGGCTGTGCCTGGGGCTGGGGGCTCTGCAGCTCGGTGACGTACTGGGGCTGGGGGGTGGCAGCAGTAGCAGGTGGCTGGGGGGGCTGGGGTGCTGTTGATGGCGGCGGCGGTGGCGGCTGGGGTTGGGCCTGTGGCGGGGCCTGTGGCGGCTGGGAGGGTTGCGGGGCTGCCTGTAGCTCAGTAACGTACGCCTGTGTTGCCATGCCAACAGTGGGGAAAATGATAATAAATAAGGCTTTTTTTTCTTCCTTGGGAAGAAGAATGGGAGGGGGGAAGAGGAAAAAGAAACAACAAAAGAAGGAAAAACAAAAATTAATCTACAGGCAGAGGAAGCCAGGGACAGCTCCTGGCTCCCTAGAGACACATGTGGGTTCATCACTAACTTAATTAAACCCCGAGGCTGATGGCCAAATATAACCAACCCATCATTACAGAGGCACTGAGTATGGACCAAGGCTGGTCTGTCTGTACCTCTTCCACTTACCCCTGCCCAGGTCTCCTGCCTTCTTCTGTCCCAACCCCTGGTGCCTGGGGGACCCCTGTGCCAGTGGGAACTCAGTCCGGCCCTTACCTAGGGATAGATGGTATGGTTCTCTGAGGCTTCTTACAGGCTGGACACTGCGTTTTACATTATTTCATTTTAAACTTTGCAACAATCACATCTGGGTTTGGGTTCAGTCTGCCAGACGAGGAGTTGATGCTCAGAGAGGTTAAGGAGCTTGCCCCAGGCCACAGAGCAGGTAAGCAGCAAGGATGAATAAGAACCCTGGGTGCTCTGAGCACTTGACTAACCAGCTAACTGTTGGAAAGAAAAATCTTGGAAAAAGTTGTCTGCCAGCCAGCCCAGTCTTGCTCCCTATATGCCCACCATCTGGGCTTGGATTCTTGGCTAAATATCATTCCCAGTGGGGTGCCAGACACCAGGAAGGTATTTGAGTCCAACCCCCCCGCCAACTGCTTATGGACACAGAAGTTTTCAGGCCTTTGTCTGGGGGCAGTTAATAGTGAACATACCAGATGTGAACTTATCATGGGGAGAGTACCCTTCTGAGGCCACAGGTAGGCCCAGCAGCCACTGCTGCTTCTGAGATCCATCTGACCAGTCAGAGGCAGCCTTACTGGCTGCTAAACGGTTGTGGTCCCTCTCCCAGGTGCTGGGCTAGGCAGGATGTTCCTCTTGCTAGGCCCTGCTTCAGCAGGGGTTGGGCTAATTATTTTTGTCCCACCTCTACCCCTAATAACCCCCTCCCCCCGCCCCAGCTCCTGAGCATCCAAGGTCAGTGGATCAAATGCTTCAGTGGTTCGGCTCCAGCCCCACACCTTTATGGCCCTGCCTTGACCCTGGAGTTGAGTTTGAGAGCCCTGCCTGGGATCCAACTTAAAAATGGGATTGTCACCCTGACCGGTTTTGCTCAGTGGTTAGAGCGTTAGCCTGCAGTCCAGAGAGACCGGGGTTCGGTTCCTGCTAAGAGCATGTACCTCGGGCCCTGGCCAGTTTGGCTCAGCGGTTGAGCGTCAGCCTGCGGGCCAGAGAGTCCCAGGTTCAGTTCCTGCTGGGGGCACGTACCACACACACACACACACACACACACACACACACACACACACACTGGGGGCACGTACCCCCCCACACACACACACACAAAAGAGCATGTACCTCAGTTGCAGTTTGTCCCCGGCCCTGGTTGGGTCGTGGGGGTGGCAGCCACTTGATGTGTCCCTTTCACGTCAATATTTCTCTCTCTCTCTCTCTTCCTCTCTCTCCCTCTCACTCTAGCTGAACAAAAAATAAAAAAATGTCCTCGGGTGAGGATAAAAAAAAAAAGAATGGGATTTTCAAGGGGAAGAAGGAGGAGAAAAACAACTGCTGCTCCTTGAGGAGAAGCCCCAGGAGCTCTTTGCTGTGACTGCCTCCTCACAGTAGCCTGGTGAAGAAGCCACAATGTCCATTTCACAGATGACCAAAGCTAGGCTCTAGGGTGAGCTGCTGAAGGGTGCGCAGCAACAAGAGAGGAAAGGATTCGCACCCCGGTGTCTCTGACCCCAAGATGTGCTCTTAGCCCCCAGCCCAATTTAGACAGCCAGGCTCATTTATTTCTCACAATTAGATTTTCAGGTGAGGAGACCTGAGGGACCCCCTTCCCTCGACCCCTACCCTTCCCCGCTTTGCCCCCAGAGGATAGCTACCTGCGCTGGGCCCCCGTTAAAGCAGCAGAAATGGTGAGCAGGGAGCCCACCTGAGCAGCCTGGAGGATGCTGGGCAGCACAATAGTTCCCCTTTATTTCCCTTTCTGGGATCCAAGAACTGTCTGAGTCAGCAAGGGGCAAGATGAATGAGAAACAAGTCCTCGATGGAGCTGATGCAGGACTTGAACTTGGCTATCTCCTAGATGTGTAACTTGGAAAAGAGACTCCCATGCCTGGGCCTCCACTGCCCCATCTATAAAATGGGAGGAAGGCAGGCCTACAGCGCAGGGTGGCTGAAGAATTCAGTCTGGTCATGTGGGTAAGCTTGGCCAAGTACCCAGCACAAGATAAGCACTTAGGAAATGGCTCTGGTTCACATCATTACCCAGAGCCCTTTAACAAAGCTCCAGGAAAGAGGACAGAGCTGTCAGGTCCTGCCTCTGGGCTGTGGAGTACAAAGGAAAAGGGGCCTCTGTCTGTACTTGGGTATGCCCACTTGTTAGGCTTGAGGCAGGCTGGGGAGGGGCCACAGGGCTCTGCTGGCTGGCAAGGGGAGAGCTGGCAGTCCTGAGACTACCTTACCTACCAGACCAGGTCATTAGGAACAGAGGGGTAAAGACAGATGGGGAACTGTCCACCGGGCACTATGGATGGGTGGCCGGTCTCAGTGCTTCCCTGCTGGTAACTCAGGCAGCTGGGGGAGCTTGCCCACCTGGAGAGGTAAGAGGGTATGGTCTGCAACACACAGGGAAAAGACATCTTCCTCTAGCCTCTGCCCTCCCCAAACTCCTTCCTGCCAGCATTAAAGATGTTACTTCCCAAGGGCTCCTTACACCACCAGGTCCAAACTCTGGCGCAGCTTGAGTGCTTAAGTCACTGTAGCCAAACACCACCCATCTGTCTGGTATCAGACCCACCTTGACATGAACCATGGCCTGTCTCTTAATTCATGAACATATGACTGGCCTGTTTCCCCTGGGCATGATGAGAACAGCTGATTCATACGGCTGTTGTAAAAATCTGATGAGATCAGCCTAGCACTCAATGAGCACTAGGAAGTGGAAGCTGCCATTATTATCATTATTAATTTTTTAAAAATCCTCATTCGAGGATATTTTTCTATTTATCTTCAGATAGAGTGTGAAGGAGAGCGGGGGTGGGGGGACGAGAGAAGGAGAGAGAGAGAGAGGGAAACATCTATGTGAGAGACACATCAATTGGTTGCCTCCCGCACAACCCTGACCAGGGCTGGAGATGGAATCACAACTGAGGTACATGCCCTTGACCAGAATCAAACCCGTGACTTATTGATCCATGGGCCGATGCTCCAGCCACTGAGCCAAACCAGCCAGGGCTATTATTATTCATTCAACAAATACTTGTGTTGGGTAGGGATGAAGGGGTAAGGAGACAGGCATGATCCTTGAGCACTTGGAAAGAGGCACTGAGGGAGAATCTGATTCTGGTGTCATCAGCATCACTTGGAGCTAGATAAATTCAGGTTCACAGGTCCCATTGCCCAGAGTCTGGGATGGCCCTGAATGATTGAGGCAGGTAGTCCTGGGGGCACTTTTTAAGAAGCATGACCTGGGCTTTCTCAGCCCTAGAAGAGCTGGCCTCTTATAGTCCTTTCCACTACAAAAGGGCTTTAAAAGCTCCACACTTTCTGGGGCTTTCTCCTCCTCAAGATAAAAAGCCTGTAGACCTTATCCCTTCCACTCAGGGGCAGGGGGAAAATGCAATGATGAGGGTTGAAAGGATGAGCTCATAGGTGAGGGGGTGGATATAACAGTTAAACCAACTTTTCTATTGAAGGCCTTCTCAGCATTGTCATTGTCAGTCTCCAGGAGGGGTGATACAGGATGCCAAGTTTCCCATAATTATTTGACCAGGGAACCCGCCCTTTTTTTCCCATTTGTGGATGACCAGGTTAAGCAGAGTTCTTTAGAGTGTTCCCTAGAAAGGAATAAGTCACAAATATCTATACAGCAAGAGGCAGTCCCCATCTCTTTGAACATGAGACCTCCTTTTTTAAAAAAAAAAAAATTATTGATTTTTTTAGAGAGAGAGGAAGGGAGAGAGAGTTAGAAACATTGATGTGAGAGAGGGACATCGAATAGCTGCCTCCTGCATGCCCCCCTTCTGGGGATTGAGCCCACAACCCGGGCATGTGCCCTGACTGGGAATCTAACCAGGACCTCTCAGTCCATGGGACGACACTAATCCACTGAGCCACACCAGTGGGGTGAGAGACCCCTTTCTTGATGGAGCAGAGCACATTAAACAAAGGAATCACTACACAAATCTGTTCCTTGGCAATGAAACTGCCAAGAAAAGCACCAATGGCTGTACCTATCTTCAAAGGCAACAGCTATGTTTTTGGAGAACAAATCAATTACTCTAGATCAGGGACCAGCAAACTTCTGTAAAGGGCCAGACAGTCAATGTTTTTGGCTTTGTGAGCAGTCTCTGTTGTGATTACTCAGCTCTGCTATTGCAGTGTGAAAGCAACCATAGATGATATGTAAACATGTGTGGTTCTGTGCCAATAAAACTTTATTTCTAGACATTGTGATTGAATTTCATATAATTTTCACAAGTCATGACATATTATCCATTGTCTTTTGATCGCCCTCTCCCCCTACACACACACATAATCATTTAAGAATGTAAAAATCATTCTTAGCTCATGGGTCATACAAAAACAGGTGGTGGCCTTAGTTGGTGGCCTGTTTTGCACACCAGATTCTATAACCAAATGGTTTACATCTTAGGTGAGGCCCTTCTGAGAAAAGGGAAAGAAAGCTTACCCTCCTCATCTGTAGAATGGCTTCAGTAAGGAACTAACAAGGGAATGGAAAAATAAACTATATTGATGTAGGTTTCCCTCATCCTCTATACCCCATGAGTTTCTAAGACTTGTCAATAATTCCTCCAAAACAGATCCTAAGGCAAGGCTGGACACTTCTCTCCATCTTCATCAACACCGTGCCAAGTTTGAGCTGCCATCAACTCTTGCCTGGATGCCCTGCCATAGCTCTGTCACTGGCT